ACCCTTAAACCCTGAGCCCTACAACCCTAAACCCGAAACCCTAAACCCGAAAACCTAAACCCCTAAACCCCAAACCCTAAACCCTGAAAATGCAGCGGAATCTCAAGCTGTACTCCACCTCCCAGGTCTTGGCCATGTCCTGGAGGGGTTTCGGGTTTGGGGTTTAAGGGTTAAGGGTTAAGGGTTAAGGGTTTAGGGTTTAGGGTTTAGGGGTTTAGGGTTTAGGGTTTAGGTTTTAGGATTTAGGGTTTAGGGTTTAGGGTTTAGGGTTTAGGGTTTCGGGTTTAGGCTTGAGGTTGTTCGGGCTTCGAGGGGTTTGGGTGGGTTAGGGTGCTGGTCCAGAGGGCTGAGGGTTCGGGGCTTTTGAGGGTGTAGGGCTTCGGGGCGTTCAATTCTGTGAAAGAGGTCACGCGCTTCCCTAAAGCTGCTCGACATGGGATCACATGCACTGAGATGTTGCCCAAACCCTAAACACTAAACCCGAAACCCTAAACCCTGAACCTTAAACCTTTGATGTTGCAGATTCGGCCACTTTGGTATCAAGTGGCTGGGGGCCTTCCTGAACCCCTAGGGGGTGCCAAATCTTTATCTTAGGGTCGCATGGTCCCCCTGAAAAGGAGACCCCTTGCAGGCCCCTTACAAGCCCTTACAACCCAAGGGACCATGTAACTATCTGTTTTCCCTAAACCTTTTACCCTAAACCCTAAACCCTAAACCCTAAACCCTAAACCCTAAACCCTAAACCCTAAACCCTAAACCCTAAACCCTAAACCCTAAACCCTAAACCCTAAACAAAAAAATGAAAAAATGCTCAGCGGCTGTGGTTTGGGACTCTGGCTGGAAGGGAGATGCGTGGTACCACGATGCCAAGATTGAAGGGAACCCTGGCTCTGGCAAAGTGCTAAAGAGCAGCTGCATCCCTCAACCCTCAACCGCAGCCCTAAACCCTAAACCCTAAACCCGAAACCCTAAACCCTAAACCCTAAACCCTAAACCCTAAACCCTAAACCCTAAACCCTAAACCCTAGACCCGAAACACTGAATCCTCTTCGTTCCCTCCCGCCCGGCGGTCCACGGCAGCAGACATCAGGTCGGGAGAGAGCAGTCGCACGCAGAAGGGCGTTCGCTTGGACTGCGGCGCAAGAATGTTTAGTGTCTTAGGGTTTCGGGTTTTAGGTTTTAGGGTTTAGGGTTTAGGGTTTAGGGTTTAGGGTTTAGGGTTTAGGGTAGCTTTTCATGGTCCCTTACCCTCTTTCATGGGTTCCCAAGTATAGGCCCTTCGGTTGTGTAGGGTATATAAGGGGCATACAAGGGGTCCCCTATTGGGTTTAGGGTTTAGGGTTTAGGGTTTAGGGTTTAGGGTTTAGGGTTTAGGGTTTAGGGTTTAGGGTTTAGGGTTTAGGGTTTAGGGTTTAGGGTTTAGGGTTTAGGGTTTAGGGTTTAGGGTTTAGGGTTTAGGGCCTTCAGGGACCATGTACCTACCCTTTGAAGAATCAGGCTCGGAAGCTGGGGTTGTGTCGTACGGAGCCTTCTATTTCTATTCTCGGTGCCCAAACAGGCCCAGAGTGCACAGCATCCCATGCTGAATTGAGCTGGAGTCCTAAACCCTAAACCCTAAACCCTAAACCCTAAACCCTAAACCCTAAACCCTAAACGAGAACCCTCTTCTGAATGACAATATCCTCCTACTTCCTCAGGGACACCCCGCGTCAAATGGGCGGTAAGAAACCCCTTAGCCACAACCCCTGACCCCAGACCCCGAAACCCCAAACTCCAAACCCCTAACCCCTGAACCCTAAACCCTAAACCCCAAACCCTAAACCCTTAACCCTAAACCCCGGCCTCAGGACGGTCTCCAACAATCTGCATGGGCTGTTCGGCCACGAAGCCATAGGTCGCAGCGCGCGCCTGTGTAGGTTTAATGTAGGCGTCGGAATACTTAGAGTAGGTTTTAGCTAGCGGCGCCACGGGTGACCGAAAGGGTTTGTCGGGTTTCAGGGTTTTAGGGTGTGCTGAGGTGGGTGGGGGGGGGGGGGGGGGGGGGGGGGGGTTGGTTCCGTCCATTCCCCGCCCTGCACTACACAATGCTCTTCTCCTCGCAGCATCTCCTCAAAGCACCCCTTCCCTTGCTTACCGAGCCATGTTCATTCTGGCATGGCTTGCCGTGTCCTTGTCCATGGCCTGTTGTCAGAGTCGAATGCAGTGGTCTCTTGGACCTCTTGGACAAAGCCATGGAGTGCACCACTGTGTCCATGAAGAAGCGGAAGCGAACGCCAACAGCTGCTCAGAAAACAACCATCCTGCATGCTGATGGCTGCAAGGCTTGGAAAAGCGCTGCTGAGCCGAGAAAAATCAGATTTCAGGCAGCGAACCACTCGAAAATGCAGTTCACTGCGTCCGTGCCAAAGCCCAAAAGAGGCGAAAGTAGAAGCACAGGGACCCAATGTCTTGATGTTTGCTGGAGATACTTGAAGAGGTAATTGCCTACGTCGCTGCATTCAAAGAATGCCGATAGAGAGGTAAACCCCAGAATCTTCGATTATGTCCTGAGCTTTGAGTGGCGCCAGAACAATGGTCCCGACATTTGGAAAGCTCTGGAAGGAGCCTTGGCAAAGCAAGCAAACGCCAGGGTCTGAAGAAAAGTTTGCCTGCCTGACGCCCTGAAAACAAAGTTTTCGTTTTGAGCACTTCCTTCTGTGTCTCCTGAATTCCCCACCCCTGCCATGGTTTTAGGCACCTCAACGCTAGAAGTCATGGTAAAAACGATACATTCCAGCAGTGCCCATGCAACCCCTAAAATAGCCAACCCTCAAAGACTCGAGGAATTTGCACATTTCCACAATATGTGCTTCAGTATGCCTCTGCAAAACCTCTGCGGTCGCGGGCAACGCCGCAACCAGGTTTTAGGGTTTAGGCGTAGGGCTTTGGGGTTTAGGGTTCTCGGGTTTAGGAGTTCAGGGTCTAGGGTTTAGGGAGGTTGCAGAGCAGCGCGAGGAGACGTATTCTGAGTTGGGGTTTAGGGTTTAGAGTTGTGGGTCGTTGAGTGGGTCCCTAAATATCAGGGTTCCGTATGATATCACGAAAAGCGATCAACGTTTAGAGAACCGACCGTCTCAGAAGAGATCAGGGTTTGGGGGTTAAGGGTTTTTGGTTTAGGGTTTAGGGCTTAGGGTGTAGGGTGTAGGGTGTAGGGTGTAGGGTTTAGGGTTTAGGGTTTAGGGTTTAGGGTTTAGGGTTTAGGGTTTAGGGTTTAGGGTTTAGGGTTTAGGGTTTGGGGTTTAGGGTTTAGGGTTTAGGTTTTAGGGTTTAGGGCTTAGGGTTTAGGGTTAGGGGGCTTAAGGTGGAGTTGATGTTGGTTTTCGCTTCTCCCGATTTGCATCGTTAGCAGGTTCGCAGTCATCTGCGCTGAGCTACCCTACATGCGCGCGAGCTGCTCTTCCAGGTACCCTAAACCCTAAACCCTAAACCCCAAACCCCAAACCCTAAGATGTTCCCCCTTTTTTCGAACCGTCCCTAATCGGGATTTTTGCTGAACCCTGAACCCTGAACCCTGAACGCTGAACGCTGAACCCTAAACCCTAAACCCTAAACCCTAAACCCTAAACCCTAAACCCTAAACCCTAAACCCTAAACCCTACACCCTAAAACCCTAAACCCTAAACCCTAAACCCTAAACTCCTGACTGTCAGAGACTCACGCTTCTGGACACAGCTCTGCGCGCCGGCAACGGACGTGCTACATCTTGTAGCCACAAGTCAAGGGGCAGCTGCGCGGCCCCTGAATGTAGGCCCTTAATTGGGGAACCCTTGTGTACTACTTAAGACACCCTAAACCCTAAACCCTACACCCTAAACCCTAAACCCTAAACCCTAAACCCTAAACCCTAAACCCTAAACCCCCTTGAAAGGAGGTAGGGGACCAGATTCAGGGACCGCGTAACTTCCCTTAGAACAAAGAACGAACTGGCAGGCTATGGTACGCATCTTACAGGACCCGGCCTCGAAAGCTTGACCTCTCAGCCCCTACTCCGATTGGCGCAAGCAGCTGCTCACAAGCACCTCAACCCTAAACCTTGAACTGCTTGGGACTCTCTGTGAAGGCAGAAGAGACTGAAAAAAAACGCAAGAACGAACATGGGGGCCTGTTTTGTTAGGTTGGGTATTAGCCGTATGGTAAGTTCTTTAAATTCTGGTTCGTTTTATGGGCGTCCTGTTACAGCACGGAGCCGTACATGTAGGGTGCCCTAAACAATATTCAAGAAACGAAAACCTGAACCCTAAACCCTAAACCCTAAACCCTAAGCCCTAAACCCTAAACCCTAAACCCAGGGTTCGGGGTGGTAGGGTTCAGGGTTTAGGGTCATGGCAGCCACTTACCCCCTGCGGTCGCGATGCGTTCGGCTGATGCTTTGATCGGCCAAGGGATTGTACTCCCAGAAACCCTAAACCCTAAACCCTAAACCCACTTCTGGGGCTGACACTCAAACCGGGCGTAGGGATGGGAGTTAACGAGTTAACCCTAAACCCTAAAGCCCTAAAGCCTAAAGCCCTAAAGCCTAAAGCCGCTTAAGCCTAAAGCCTAAAGCCTAAAGCCGCAAGCCGCTAAAGCCCAAAGCCTAAAGCCTAAAGCCCAAAGCCTGAAGCCTGCAAGGGTTCGGTCTGGGGAATGTTTTCGGGTTAGGGGTGTAGGGCTTTGGGTGGGCGCAAGAAGACTCGCCATCCAGACCCGGCTTGAGGCAAACGCGGAGTGCCTCGGCCACTCAAGCCCTGAACCCCAAAGCCATTTGGTGCTTTAGGCTCTTTAAGTTCCTTTGCAACTACCGGCAAAAACATATCCAGTGCTTAGGCTTTCAGGGTTCACCTCAATGTGGATTTTTGGGTCCTTAGCGTACAGTGTACTCACCCTGGACCCTAAACCCTAAACCCTAAACCCTAAACCCTAAACCCCAAACCCCAAACCCCAAACCAGCTCGGCTCAGGGAGCCCTTGGCCCTCCACGGCTCAGTGAGCCTCAATTCCCGCGCGCGAGGCCAGCGCCACTTCCGTCCCTGGGATGCTTGGGCTTTGGGTCTTTAGGGTTTAAGGTTTAGGGTTTGGGGTTTAGGGTTTAGGGTTTAGGGTGTAGGGTTTAGGGTTTAGGGTTTAGGGTTTAGGGTTTAGGGTTTAGGGTTTGGGGTCTGGGGTTTGGGGTTTAGGGCTTCAGGGTTTAGGGTCTAGGGTTTAGGGATGAGGGTTTAGGGTTTAAGGTTTAATAGTGTCCAAGGCTTCTTTTGGAATCCATACTCGCCTCGGCTTCCAGCCCAGAGGCGTCTACAACCAGCAGCCCAGAATCTGGTCTCCTGCCCTTGCTGGACCTTCCCTGCAACTCGCTTGGGAGCCCCTGTGGAACTTTCTCTGGGACCCCCCCCCTAGGACACTCCCCTATGCTCTTGCACTCTGCAAGGGTCTAGGTTTGGGGATATTTCGGTGGTCTGAGTGTAGGGGCAGCAGCTTGTTGGTGCAAGGCCTTGGGTTTTGGAGCGGCCTCAGGGTTTCTTGTTTATTGTTGGGGTAGCTTCTTGCTTCGGGTTTTCTCAAGCTTGAGCACCTAAACCTAGCTGCGGCGGAGGCTCGGTGGAGCTGGCGATGCAGCGCGGCGTGGCGCTGGCGCCAGGAGGCCTCGGACTCCTCGAGTTGGCGGCTGGAGTCCTCGGCGCGGAGCTCCGCCCGGCGCCGGCCCTCGCGCAGCTGCTCGAGCTCGGCCTCCATCCCGCGCAGCCGCCGCGCCACCTCCGTGCGCGCCGCCTCGGACTGCTGCAGCTCCTGGCTCAGCTCTTCGCAGCGGCGCTCCAGACGCCGGGACTCGTCCAAGCCAGGGCTCCGCGCGGGCCCCACATGTCCCACATGTCCCACGTGCTGTGTGGAGGTGTCCGACGGGTAGGAGGTCACACCTGTCACCCCCATCACGCCGCTGAGCTCCGGCAGCGGCAGTGGCCCTGCACCGGGGGGAGCCACGGGCGCAGTTGGAAAGGGAGGCGCCATGGGCGGGGCCACGGGCTGCTGCACCTGCTGGGCAAGAGCATCCAAGCCATGCACCATGGCCGCTAGCCGCGCCATGCGCTCCTCAAAAGCGTCCAGGCGCGCCCGCACGGGCTCAAGGCACTCGCTCTCGAAGGTAGCAGCACGTTCGCCTCAGCTTCACACCCATGCTGCACACTCCGCATCTGAGAAATCGACAGTCTACACCAAGAATTGCCCTTTTCTGCAGCACTCGCTCTTCCTTGCCTATGCCTGTGCCTCTGTGAAGCTGGAGCAGGCAAGTGGCGGAAGGCTGCCTGCGTCAAGTTCAGTCTGAGGTTTTTGCGGCTTCGGGCGCTGCTTTCGATTCTCGACCGTGGGGGCTTAACCTAAACCCTAAACCCTAAACCCTAAACCTCTAAACCTCTAAACCTCTAAACTTGGCAGTACGGGTCAGCACCCTACCAAATTCACGAGGCGCCGCCGAGACGATGCTTATACACCACCGGCTCCCTACACAACGTCAGTGCCTCTAAACTCCCTGCAAACCCCAAAGACCCTAAACTTACAACCCTAAACCCTACAGCCTAAACTTAAAAACCTAAACCATAACCGCTAAACCCTAAACCCTAAACCCTAAACCCTAAACCCCCAAACCCTCAACCCTAATCCTATATAACCCTAAACCCGAAACCCTAGAATTGCACCCTATAAACCCTAGACAAGCCAAGCTCCCCTGGCCCAACCGCACCTCGGCTTGCTCGGAGATCTCTTGGCTGGATGAGAGCCTCGCGTGCGCGCAGCACTTGCGAGCTTCCACCTCGGCTTTGACTTTGGGGTTTAGGGTTTAGGGTTTAGGGTTTAGGGTTCAGGGTTGAGGGTTTAGGGTTTAGGGTTCAGTGTTCAGGGTTTAGGGTTTAGGGTTTTGGGTGTAGCGTTGTCACAACCCCCACCCACCTACCCCACCCATCCCAAACCAAGGCCTTGTAAGCCTCCAAGCCCTGGACTTCGAACCCTAAACCCTATACCCGAAAGGGTTTAGGGTTTAGGGTTTAGGGTTTAGGGTTTAGGGTTTAGGGTTTAGGGTTTAGGGTTTAGGGTTTAGGGTTTGTACGGAACTCCTTTGAAGAGAAGCGAGCAGCCTCGACACACCGCTTCTGGACCGCCAGCGTCCAGAGCGCGTCGCGCCAGGTCTCCTCCAAAGCGCGCACCCGCGGTTTCAGGGTTTTCGTGTTTAGGGCTTAGGGCTTAGGGTTTAGGGTTTAGGGTTTAGGGTTTAGGGTTTAGGGTTTAGGATTTAGGGTTTAGGGTTTATGGTTTAGGGTTTAGGGTTTAGCTTTTATGGTTTGGGGTTTGGGGGTTCAGGGTTTGGTGTTTGGGGGGGCTTCGGGTTTGGGGGTTTGGGGGTCTTGGGGAGGGTTAGGGTTTGGGGTTTGGGGTTTGGGGTTTGGGGTTTGGGGTTTGGGGTTTGGGGTTTGGGGTTTGGGGTTTGGGGTTTGGGGTTTGGGGCTTGGGGTTTGGGCTTTGGGGCTTTGGGGCTTTGGGGTTTTGGGGTTTTGGGGTTTTGGGGTTTGGGGGTTTGGGGTTTGGGGCTTGTGAAGCTTGACTGCTTCGTGCAGTGAGCACGAGGAGTGAAAGTTTGCCTAAACCCTCACCCCCCAAACACAGGTTGATACCCCAGACCCCTCCAACCCATGAACTCCTAAAGCCTCAGCTTTCTGCACACCTCGAAAAGACCGGACACCCTCCAAACCCCAGTACCCCCAAACCCCTCAATCCCCTAAAACCCCTGAACCCTGCAAACCCCTAAAGCCCTAAATGCAGAACCCAAAACCCTAAACCCTGAAAGGACCCAAACTCCCTAAACCCCCTAAACCCCCTAAACCCCCCAAACCCCCCAAACCCCCTAAACCCCCTAAACCCCCTAAATCCCCCCCCCAAAAAAAAAACTAAACCTCGAAATTCATAACCCAAAGCCCTAAACCCCTAAAGACCCTCCTAAAAGCCCCCTAAGAACCCTAAAAACTCACTAGATTCAGAACCCTAAACCCTAAACCCTAAACCCTGAACCCTAAAACTCCAAAGGCCCACCGCAAGTCTCGCGGGTTCTCCTCCCAGGCTGGCGAGCCTCGTCCGCCTCTTCTGGCTGCCTTGGCCGTCCCAGTGCCAGAAGGGCTTAGGGTTTGGGGTTTGGGGTTTGGGGTTTGGGGTTTGGGGTTTGGGGTTTGGGGTTTAGGGTTTAGGGTTTAGGGTTTAGGGTTTAGGGGGTTTAGGGTTTAGGGTTTGGGGTTTGGGGTTTGGGGTTTGGGGTTTGGGGTTTGGGGTTTGGGGTTTGGGGATTGGGGATTGGGGATTGGGGCTTAGGTGGTTTTTAGGGCCGTTAGGGTTTCGGTGCTTTTCGGTTTAGGATCTAGCGTTTAGGGCTTGCGGTCTGAGGTTTGGGGCCACGGCAGCTCTTTTACCCTAATACAAGGGCCGGAATAAACACAAATAGAATTCCCCCCGATGGTTCCTTCACAATTATACTGTAATAACCTCCAAAACCCTAAACCCAAGAAAAACTAAACCCCAAACCCAAAACCCTAAACCCTAACCTACACCCTATTCAATTTTGAAGCCCCCTATATTCGCCCGCCCACAGCCTCCACCTCGGTCTGGCGCACAATCTGCGATGCCCAGCGCTGCGCCTGCACAACCCCGGAACAAGCAATGAAGGTTTTAGGGTTTAGAGTTTAGGGTTTGGGCTCAGGGGTACTTTACTGCTTATGCAAAAGACTCTTATAAACGGTTTGGGGTGCATAGAAGCCTCCTGTAAGACTCTTGCAAGGGAAACTAACAACCCGAACCTGCGGCACCCTTCTACACCCTGAACCTAGAAAACCTAAACCCTAAACCCTAAACCCTGCTCAGAACTCGGGGGTGGAACGTGGGCCTGGAGGGTTTCGGGCTTAAGGGGGGATTAAAAGCTGCCCAAACCTTCCAACTAAGGTTGAGAAGCAGGGGTTTCAGGTTTAGGGTTTAGGGGTGGGATTACAGGGGTTTTGAATGTTTAGGTTCAGGGTTTAGGGTGTAGAGTTTATTAGGGTTTAGGGCTTAGGGTTTAGGGTTTAGGGTTTAGGGTTTAGGGTTGAGGGGGTAGGGGTTAGGGTTTAGGGTTTAGGGTTTAGGGTTTAGGGTTTAGGGTTTAGGGTTTAGGGTTTAGGGTTTAGGGTTTAGGGTTTAGGGTTTAGGGTTTAGGGTAAGATCTTCCGGACTCCCTGACACCTGAAGGGGCGGAGCCAGGGGCCGCTCACGGAAGACAGGGTTTCGGGTTTAGGGTTTTGGGGTTTAGGGTCTAGGGTTTAGGGTTTAGGGTTTAGGGTTTAGGGTTTAGGGTTTAGGGCTTAGGGTTTAGGGTTTAGGGTTTAGGGTTTAGGGTTTAAGGTGCAAGGTGTAGGGTTCCAACCGTGTTCACACTCAACCCTAAAGCTTCGACTCTAGACTTACTGAACCCTAAGCCCTCCAACCCCTACACATGCCGTCCTCCAGGACATCACCTCAGCTGCCGTGCGCAGGTTCGGGTTTAGGGTTTAGTGAGATAGCGTCTAGGGTTTAGGGTTTAGGGTTTAGGGTTTAGGGTTTAGGGTTGAGGGTTGAGGGTTTAGGGTTTAGGGTTTAGGGTTTAGGGCTTAGGGTTTAGGGTTTAGGGTTTAGGGTTTAGGGTTTAGGGTTTAGGGTTTAGGGTTTAGGGTTTAGGGTTTAGGGTTTGGTGAGTGTAGTATCTAGGGTTTACAGTTTAGGGTTTCCAACGTTCCTACTAGCTTCTGATCGGGGCTTGGGTGCCATAGAACTTCCCCCTTTATACAGCCCTTTTCATGGGCCATGGGACTACATCGTGTACCCTAGACCCTAGACCCTAAACCCTAAACCCTACACCTAAACCCCAAACCTTAACTCTGAACCTACATAACAAGGGTTTAGGGTTTAGGGTTCAGGGTTTCAGGGTTTGAGGGTTTTAGGGTATGGGGTGAGGGTGGAGGGCTTGGGGTTGGTGGCGTAGTGTTGAGGGTTTAGGGTTTCGGGTTTAGGGTTTAGGGTTTAGGGTTTAGGGTTTAGGGTTTAGGGTTTAGGGTTTAGGGTTTAGGGTTTAGGGTTTAGGGGGGTTGTACGGAGCAGCTGCAGGCGAAGGGCCAAAGAATGGCGGTGGAGGGCACGCGGCAGGGTCCTGGTTGACGAAGCCCAGGGGCTATCAGCGACTTTTGTGCTTAGGGTTTAGGGCTTTGGGGGGTTTGGGTGGTTTAGGAGGTTTAGGGGGTCTAGGGGGTTTAAGGGTTTAGGGGGGTTTGGGAATGTTTTTGGGGGTTTGGGGGTTTGGGGGTTTGCGGCGGGGTGCGGGGTTTTAGGGGGTTTAGGGCTGAGGGTTTAGGGGGTTTCAGCTCTGGGATGCACGCCGTTCCGTTCTTCGCAGGGTGCCTAAACCCGAAACCCGAAACCCTAAACTTAAGCCCTTAAGGTTTAGGGTTTAGGGCTTAGGGTTTGGGGTGTGGGGTGTAGGGTGTAGGGTTTAGGCAAGCCCCAAAACCCTAGCTCCCAAATCATAAGCTCAGCAAAAAGCCGAATATAGGGGCCCAGTTGGCGAAGATGGGCCTTTGGGGTGGCGCATTTCCAACTTTCTGAGGAGTATGAGGGAGGGGACGACAGAAGTACTTATTTGGGCCCAACGGGCCCAAATCAGAAGGAAGGGCGTCACCGGAGATCCGAACCGTCTGGAATGTCTGAACGAAAGACGAGCAGGCAACCCTAAACCCGAAACCCTAAACCCTAAACCCTAAACCCTAAACCCTAAACCCAGACTTCCCAGACCCTGAGCCCAGAACCCGAAAGCCCAAACCCCAACGTCCTAAACCCAACATCCTAAACCCTAAGCCCTAAACCCAACATCCTAGACCCCGTGCCCTAAACCCTAAACCCGAAACCCCGAAACCCTAAACCCGAAACCCTAAACCCCAAGCCCCAAAAGCAGGTTGATAAGAAAGCGCCTGTCTCTCTCTCCAGGAGGGAGGCGGGGCCGTGGTGCCCATGGCGCTAAGAAGGGTGCTGGT